CATATGAGCAGATAAGGAAGGTGTGGTGTATATGGAATATTATTCTGATATAAAGAATGCAATCTTGCCATTTGTGACAACATGGATAGATCTAGAGGGTATTATGCTAAGTGAAATAAGTGAGACAGAGAAAGATGCCATATGATTTCATTTATATGTGGAATTAAAAAAAAAAAGGCAGAAACAGACCCATTAATACAGAGAACAAACTAGTTGTTGTTTTGGGGGAGCAAAATGGGTGAAGGCGAGTGGGAGGTACAGGCTTCCAGTGACAAAATGAATAAATATGGGTAAAAGGCACAGTATAGGGAATATAATCAATGGCATTGTCATAGCATTGTATGGTGACAGACGGTAGCTGCCCTTGTGAGCAAGCATAACAGAGAGAGAAGTTGAATCACTGTGTTGTACATGTAAAACTAATGTAACATTGTATGTAAACTGTGCTTCAATAAACAGAAAATACAAAAGTAATCTGTAAGAAAAGCAGACATCTCATGTCTATAAAGTACCTCTCCTTTTTCTCCTGTTTGGCCAGGCTGTGACAACATGTTGATGGGCGTAAAGTCTCTGAAAATAGTGAAGAAGACTATGGACACACATGGCTCTTGGATGAAAGATGCTGTCAGCAATTCCCAAAAGGTTTATTTCCTAGTTGGATCCAGAAACAAAACTGTTTGGGAATTTGCAAACATGCGGGCATTCATGGAGGATAGCACCAAACCAGCCCCGCGGAAGCTAATCCTAACACATTCCTGGCAGGGAACAGGCCAAGTGATCCACAAAGGTTTTCTGTTTTTTCACAACCAAGGGACTCTCAATGAGATCATCAAATATAATCTACAGAAGAGGGCTGTGGAAGATCGGATGCTGCTCCCAGGAGGGGCAGGCCGAGCACTGGTCTACCAGCACTCCCCGTCAACATACATTGACCTGGCTGTGGATGAGCATGGGCTCTGGGCCATCCACTCAGGGCCAGGCGTCTATGGCCATTTGGTTCTCACAAAAATTGAACCTGGCACACTGGGAGTGGAACACTCATGGGACACTCCATGCAGGAGCCAGGATGCCGAAGCCTCCTTCGTTTTGTGTGGGGTTCTCTATGTGGTCTATAGTTCTGGCGGCTATGGCCCTCACCGCATCACCTGTGTCTATGATCCGCTGGGCAATATCAGTGAGGACGATCTGCCCAAACTGTTCTTCCCCAGGCGGCCAAGAAGTCATTCCGTGATCCATTACAACCCCAGAGATAAGCAGCTCTATGCCTGGAATGATGGAAACCAGATCATTTACAAACTCCAGACAAAGAGAAAACAGCCTCTGGAGTAATGCAGTACAGCAAGGAGGGAGAGCACTAAGGCTGTGGTTGCTGCTCCCTGGGACACTGAGGCCACAGCCCCTTTGCAATACAGTATCCCTCTGATCACATACAGGGATAGGGACTAGAACTGGGCTTGCATATGCATCCTTCCCCTGGATGTTACGGCCTGAGTTATCTTCCAAGAGCGTAGATGAGAGTCTATCATTCGGAAATTTTCAACCTCCATCACCCATCCAAACCTCCTGGCTCTCAAGGCTTTGCACATGCTGATCCAGCTTACGGCCTGCCTTTCCTTTACCCCCACCTCTCCATCTCCCTCCCCTGCCAACAATTAGCAATGTAGCCCACCTCCTAATACTCCTGGCTCCTGTCCTGACCTTTCCTGATGCTCTTTCCTCTTTCTTAAATGCCCATTGGTATTCTTCCGTTTTTCACTGCCCAACTAAAGTACAATTTCTTATTGATGTTTAATCTCTGTGTCCCCCAGCTCTGCCCCTTCACCAAGCTGAGGAGATACAAGAGGAAAATAAAGCCACTCACATCTAAATACCACTTGGCAGTTACAAAGTGTTTGCTCCTATGTACATCATTTAATTCTCATGCCACCCTGTGAGATATGCAGAAGAGGTCTTTATAATTGCCATTTTAGAGATGACAGAAGTTTAGGTGAGCCATTCAGAGGAACACAGCCTCAAAATGAAAATAGGTCTAGAAAATACCGCAAATCCCATAGTCTTTCCATTGCCCAAGGGAGCATCAAATACGTATGTGTGTTCACCCAGCCTTTTATAAGCAATATGTATGTTTAGCGTCTCATCCTAAAAAATCATGGTCTGTCCCCTGCGGCTGGTTTTCATGTCTGCAGAAGACCTTTCCGTAAGACCTTCAAAAGCTACTTCCTCCAGAAAACCAGCCTACAGCCTAAGGGTGAGGACCCCACCTGCAGCCTCATCTTGTCCTACCTTCCCCTGTGTCTCTTTCCTTGCTGGAAACACAATAAAACCGACACTAAGCAAATAAGCCTCATCAGGTTAGATTTGCGTACGTGCCCTCAGCAGCCAGGCTTGCAGGAAGTGTTGCCTGAGATTGGACTCGCTGTGAAGCTCCCCAGCACACTGAGGCCCTGGGGAGGGAAAGCTTCTGGAATCTGGATGGAAGCCAGGTAGCGGGCCAGTGACTCCCTGTCACAGCAGGCCTGCCAAGTGGCACAGGTGACAGAGGACAGCTGTGATTGTGCAGAGGGGCTTCTTCAAATCTTTCCCACATGTTTGTCCAGTTCAGCCCAGTGTGGGTCACCAGCACAGGCTGTGGTGCCAGTCTGTGTCATGTGCTGAGGCCTCTGCCTTTCCAGGTTAGTCACATGAGAGGGTTTGTTTTGTGTGCTTGCAGCTGTTTTGCCAACTCTGCCAAGCTTAGGGTGGGATCACGGGCGATGAAGAGACGTTTTTCCCCCAGAGCATTTGAGTAGAGCTTTGGCAGAATGGAATTACTCACCCCATGTATACAGCACAATTACCCACAGTTCTAATAGCTACACAGCCCCGATCTGTTGTGGAAGGAGGCAGGTATGGGTACATAAACATGGTGATGGGCCCCACTCCATGGGTTTACAGACATCGTGTACCACGGGGGTAAAATACCATTACCTATTTCACGGGAATAAGGCAGGGGACTGCCTCAGGAGGAGGGTAGAGTGGGATTATCGGTGAGTGGAATTATGTGTGGGTCCCGCACGCAGAGTTCCTTTAGAGGCCAAGAGGTGGGTTGCCTTTCATCTGTGATACACTTGGATTTGACAGTTCTAAAGGGTGCCCCTGCCACTAACAAATTAAATTCCTGCAGCTAGAATCACTCTTTTAGGTCAAGACATCGTCTCCCTGTTAAATGGGCCACTTTGTTTCCGGGGAGCCAGGGCAGGACAGCATATGGGCCCACAAACATGGTCTCCGGCTTCTTTCTGGTGAACTGTTCAGCTCTGGGGTCTCTCATCAGATCTTAGTCAGGATGAAAGTCCCTATGACCTATGGCAGCGGTTGTAAAGTAAACTTGACTGTGCATAAGAATCACCTGAGGAGCTTTTAAAGATCTCAATACCAGGCCATACTCCCAGATCTTTAAATCACAACCTCGGGAGGCAGGACCCAGACAGCAGATATTTTAAGCCTCCTCCCCCCAAATGGTTCCAAAGTGTGAATAAACTTGAGAGCCAGTGACTTAACACCATTTTTTAAGGTAATTAAAAAAGAAGTAGTTGTATCATCCTAAGAACAAATTTGCATTTTCTAGGGGCTGAGGTTGGGACAGTGTGTCCACCGGGGCAGTAACATGTGGGATTTGGAAACACCCATGAACTCATGTGAACTGAGTAGCGCCTAGGGCTACAAAAGCCTCTGCTGCTATTTTAAGGAAGTGAAAGAGAACTGCAGGGTGTCCTGCTGTAACACAACTCTCATGGGCCCCAGCCTTCCTCTGCTGGCTTTGCCTTTGGTCTGCTTCTGGCCACGTTCCTGCAGTGACCAGAGTCTCATATTTGCCGGGGTGGCTTAAGTTCTGTTCACATGTAAAAGTCTTCCTGGCACACTGGTAATTTCAGACCACCAAGGTAATTTGAAAAAAAGATGTTTCTTGTGGAGTTTGTCCAGCCTGTAGAAAAATGTAGATTAAAACTGAGGCCCGGGCTGTAGTGACTCCTGCCAGAGCTGGGGTCTGTGCCAGAGTCTGCGGTGTCCATGCCATCTGCTGCCCACAGAGATTTTAATCAGCTGAACTGAGCAACCAGTCCCTGGAGGCCTAGGCAAGGCAACAACCTAGCACTACAGCCAAAGGGGATTCAGGCCATACGCTGGGGAAGGTGTTGGACTGAGTCTCCAGGGCCCAGTCCTGCCCTGATTCTAGAATCCATTCCTGTGGTCTGAGGTGCCAAAGCTTTTTTCGGGTCTGCGGAACCCCGCCTTCGTGCTGAGCATAGGGAAATGCTTCGTGTCCTTAGCTGTTCACAAGACCCAAAGCAAGTGTCTTTGGTTGGGGCTGACCACTAGGGGGACCTCCACTCCAGGTCGCGGGGTTCAAGCGCGGCCAGACACTACAGTGACTCCGAGCCTTCCAAACGGGTTGTTCAGAGACCGGGCCAACCTCAATTTGGACTGCATCGCACGGGTCCGGGGAGTCGGAATATCCAATGGGTTGCTGCTCTGAGTGCGCCTCTAATCGGTCTTTCTGTGGCTTCTCTCTCTTTGCAATTCTCGATACAAATTGCTTCTCTGCTTCCTCGTTTTCATTTCCTACGGCCGGGGAACGATGCTGAAAGGCTGGAGAAGCCCAGGGAACTGGCAGCACTACCGCCGAGACCCGCCCGTCGGTCTCCCCCGGGCCAGAAGGGTGCAGGCGGGGGAGGTGACAGGAGCGGGGCGGGGCGGGGCTCCCTGGGGGCGTGGCCTCCGGGAGGCGCGGCTTGTGGGCTCTGAACGCGTTCCAGGGGGTGGGGCCGCGGCTGGGTGGACGCGGCGAAGGCAGGTTCGAAGGGGCGGGGTTGACGAGGCCGGTCCCGGAGAAGAGGGAACCCGTGGCAGACGGGTCCTTGCGGGTCGCCGCGCTGCCCGAGAAGGAAGGGGAGTTGAGGGGCGGTCCCGGGGGAAGGAGGGTGGGAGCAAGCTTGGGCTCCGGGACGAGCCTCCCGTGGGTCCCGCCCCCGTCACGTGGGCTCCAGACCCGGCCGCTGCCGCTCCGTCCGCTGGTTGGTCGGTCAGTTGGTCGGTGGGTCAGTGGCCTGCAGCTCGTTTCCCGGCTCTCATGTTCGGAGGTGGGAGGGACACGGGAGCGTCCCGCGCACCTGAGCCGCCCGGAGAGGAGCCCCGCACCCAGGTCAGTGGGCTCTCCCCACGCCCCAGGTCCCCTGCGCGTTCCGGACCGGGAGCCCTCGCGGGTGCATTGCCTGGGGAACCGAAAGCCCCCAGATTCAAGAACCACCCGAGGAGTGGGGGTCAGTGCCAATAAGGGCCCCGGAGCGTGTCCCAGGCACAAGGAAAGGGACCCTCTTCCCCTCTTCTCTGGCCAGAAGACTGGGAGAAGGCTTTAACTCCCGTGGATTTGCTCCGAATTTCCACCCACCCCTGCCCGGGATCTACGGACAATCCGCGCGCCCCAGCAGGTGCCAGCATGGCCCTGGAGATGCGCAGGATGGTCAGTCACCTCAGTTCTGTGCGGTGTGTCACCGAAGCACCCGCGTAATCTAGAGAGCCCACGGTGGTCGGGCGGTTTAGGGTCTGTTTGCCCAAACATCTCTGTTCGGGTGTGTTCAGATGCAACGCCTTGACTGAGACCAACTCTGTAATTGCGAAAACGCAACATGCCTATCAAAATCTCAAGCCACTGCGTCCCAGTAGACTGCCAAAGGGGGAAGGTGCTACTTGAAAGTGGGCTCCTCCTCTCCCTCATGACATCCCAACTCCAGACCTGCAGTTTTTCTTCAAATGAAAATAAGATTATATGTTGAAAAGGTAGAATTTCCAAAGTTTGCAGGGGATTTAAACAGGCATTCTAGCTAGTCTTTAATCCTCTTAAAAAACAGACCCAGAGTATTGTATTTTTACTTTTAGAGCAGCTGGTTATGTCGTATAGATCCGTCCCCCTTGCCATATTTCTAGGTCTACCTCCTATCTTTCTCTTCATCTGTCTCTTTCCTTTCCAAGTTCCTTAATTGATTATAATACAAACCTGAAGTGTTTCCGAAGTTTATGTTGCATTTTGTGAAGTTAAATGCCCAACTAAAGAAAGGTAGTTGGCTGTGCACAAAATTCATCTTCAATATGTTCAGTCTTTGATTATTATTTGAATATAGAAAACACAAAATATTATTTAATTTAGAGATTGTTTCTCTTTAGGGCTTGAGAGGCAGCCCATTAATATTCTTTTTTTTTTTAAGATTTTATTTATTTATTTGACAGAGAGAGAGATAGTGAGAGCAGGAACACAAGCAGGGGGAGTGGGAGAGGGAGAAGCAGGCTTCCCGCGGAGCAGGGAGCCCGACGTGGGACTCGATCCCAGGACCCTGGGATCATGACCTAAGCCGAAGGCAGACGCTTAACGACTGAGCCACCCAGGCGCCCAGCCCATTAATATTCTGCTTAAATTCATATTTAAACGACCTTGAAATGGGAAATGAGAGAGATTAATGAATTTTTCACTTACTGCATTCATCCATGATTTTATCAATACATTTATTATTATTATTCTTACTTAGAGATTTGATGATGTGCCAGCTATTAGCTTATTGCTACTGGACAAACTGAGAATCATGATCTCTACTGGGGTAGCTAACGGCAGGTGTGCTGGCTTTAAGACTGAGCAGAATGGGATAAATGCCACAAGAGAGGGAAGAACAAAGAGTTGTGGGAATTCCTATCTTTTTTTTTTAAGATTTTATTTATTTGAGAGAGAGAACGAGAATGGGGGGGCAGCAGAGGGAGAGGGAGAAGCAGGCTCCCCACTGAGCATGGAGCCCAATATGGGACTCGATCCCAGTCATGACCTGAGCCGAAGGCAGATGCTTAACTGACTGAGCCACTAGGTGCCCCGGGGATTCCTGTCTTTCATCTGAGTAGGGAAGATGTGGGATAATTTCAAGAAGCAGATGACTTGTGTGATGGATCTCAGAGGATTTCTCCTGGGTGTCTCCAGGCAGAGGTGGGTAGAGCGTGGCCTGGGCTGAGAGCTGTGTAGGCAGGCAAGCACCAGCTAACCGTGAGAAGTGGCAAGTGGTCCAACTGGGTTCCCAGGGCAGGTGCTAGACAGTAAAGTTGGTGACAAGGATGAAGCATGGCCCCAATGGGCCATGAAGGTCAGGTGCAGAAGTCTGGAATAATTGGAAAGCATGGGAGCCAATGACAGGTTTTTAAGCAAGGGACTGACTGATGGTTCAGTGAGCTTCTCAAAGTCCGGGACTTTGGCCGTTGACCATCCCAACCCCTGGCCTGATACGGAGAAAATCCAGCAAATATTTGTGGAATGAATAATCAGGCAACACTGTAGAGCTGAGCTTCTCAACCTTTAACAAGCTTAAGAATCACGAGGTGGGTCTTGTTCAAATGCAGATTCTGATTCCTGGGTCAGCAGGGGATCTGACCTGGATTTCTAACAAGTTCTAGGGTGGTGCCCTTCACTATCTCTGGCAAGGATTAAGGGCCATAGTTTGCAAACCTGGGGAGCTTTTAAACTATTTGGAATGAAGTGGGGTCTGGGATGGTGTTTCCAGGATGGTGTCCCAGGTTCCCCCAGGTGATTCTGGTGAAGGCCAAGGTGGGACCTGCTCAAGCGCACTGGGGCAGTGCTGTGGGAAGGAGTGAGCGGAGGGGCCAGTTAGGACAGTGCCGGCCGATCAGGATAGAAGTGGGGATGCCTTATATTGGGCCTGAAAGAGTGGGACAGGTAGGAGAGACTGTAGAGATCGAACCTACGGGCCAGGGGTTCAGGGAGTGCTGGTATCTGTCTTTAGACTGGATAGCTTCCAGAGTGAGGCGGGGAAACCATTCTGAGAGAACTACGCTTTGGAGAGGAATGGCATGCCCTTCAGGCTGTAACATTTGATGTAAAATTTGGAAGTTGGTTTTGACGTGGCCATTGAAAAAAATTTTTTTTCCTGAAATACAAATCTGTTCATGATGCTTCCCTGCTCTAAATCCTCTGGTGGATCCCCTCTTGTAAAATATGAGAAGGAAAAGCTAATATGAATGCAACTAAGGAGACCTCTAAACATTTATTAAATTCCCAGACTGCACCCCCATTCAAGAAGTGACCCTCGGGGGGTGGGGTGACGTCACCACTTGGTGTGGGCACAACTAGACTGCAACTTTTGGCAGCTTTGTGTGGTCCTGAGTCACTGTTTTTCCTGCTTCCTCCTTAGAACAGTTCCACTTTATGTTTCGGGGCATCATTGGTTTCAGTCCTTGATGGCACCTCCGGGTCTCTGTTTTCCAAGAATCCACAGGTGGTCTCAGAAGGGTGGGCTGTATCCCTTCTAGACTCTGAAAGCCAGGTCTTATTCGCCCTTGGGAATCTTCACGACCTCCATTCTTATCTCTGACATGCTCAGTAAATAATCTAGGAGATGCTGTCCTAGAGCAATCTGTTTAGCTTCAGACCCAGATCTCCTCGTAGCCTTGCGATTTTCCAGGGCGCTGCTCTCAACTTTGTCTTCAGGAAACGTATGACTTCTACTTAGTGCTCCTAGGTAATTCTTACTTTGGGGCTCCTCTCTAATTCCTGCTTTCATTTCCTCTGGGGCTCCTCTCTAATCCTTGCTTTCATTTCCTCTGTCACATCCACATTATGCACACAGAGAGCCAACCCTTCCTTCTGCACCATGCTCTTAATCACCATGTTCCACGTGGTGCAGACATCTTGGCCCGGTAATAGATCTGTGGATGGAAGGTCTACACAAGGTGGGATAGGGTTGCCTCCTTGATAGGATAAAGTGTAGCATCCTTCTTTGGCACTGAAGGCCCTGCGAAGCCTGGCAGTAACATAGCTCACAGCTGCATCTCCACTGTCCCCCAGACTGAGTAGCTCACCAGTTTCTATCTTAATGCGCCTCTCTGTCTTTGCATGCGCAACGTGCTCTTCCCGGAAAGCTCTTTCGTCCACTCGGCAAGATGAATGAACTCTTATTATTAGGATGCAGATCAGACTCCTTGAAACCCCTCTCCTCCTCCCACCTCTAAGTCACTTTGACTCTCTGGCATATATATATATATATACATATATATATATACACCATCGAATAGAGAACGCAGCTGTGGTACTTAGGCACTTTATTTGCATGTCTCTGTCTACACCCGCTCCAGACCCTGAGCTGCTCCGGGCCTGCATCAGCCTCTGGGCGCAACCCTACACTTAGCAGATGTGCAGGAAAGAGTTGGTGGTAAACATGGGCCCTGAGCTGACTGGTTTTGCAATGTTTGCCCCGGTAAAGGGGGAAAGGGGTAGGCTGTTTTGCACCGGAGATGAGGGAAGAAACAAGAACAGAACCTGAAAGACTGGGACAAGCCCAATGAGGAGTGGCCCACTTGGCTAGAGTCAGAGGGTGGGGTGGGGAGGGAACACAGGGAGAGGTGAGACGGGAGTCTTCGGCTGGGGCGAGGCCACGCAAGGCCTTGAACACTGCGGCTAAGGAATTGAAATTTTATTCCCGTGACATTGAAGGTCTTTGAGTGTGGAAGAGACATGGTGAAATCTCTGCTTTCAGGATGATCCCGGACTGGGAAGGGCAGGTTGGAGGGACAGGGAGCAACCTCCCGTGAGAATATGCTATTGGAATAACCCATCAAGGTAGCTTAGGATGTAAATCAAGGCAGTGGCGGTAGAGATGGAGAGGGAGTGATCCCCTGCAGGATTGGGTGACTGACTGGATTGGAGGGAGAGGGAAAGGCAACAAATGGGACACTGACACTTTGTGCTAGTGTGCTGGGAGAAGAATGAGCCACTGTTAGTAGCATGGGAGCATGGAGGGAAGTGAGGATGGTTCCTTTTGGAATCAGAAGAGAGCCTTGGGTACTTTCTTGCATCATATACAGAGACACATCACACGCACACACACACACACACACACACACACGGAGGGTGAAGCTACCCAAAGGAACCTATCTAGGGTCACCCGCTGCTGGGGGCAGAGCCCAGGCCTCCTGGCCCTCTGGCCCGGGGCTCTATCCTTTGGAGCACAGTGAGTTGGCCAGAGAAGAGCTGCCAAAAGGTCCAGATGGAGATTCCATTAGGCAATGAAAAATGGGAGAGAGACCAGGTTTGGGGTGAATTCAGTCTGCAGCTAAGACTGGAATCTTACAGGTCAAGGACTCGGAAGGGAAGTATCT